CGTGTCTGAAATATTTTCGGACTGTGTTTTAAAATAATGAATACCGAAATCCCGCTTAGGGAATCCTTCTTATTCGGGTAATATCAGTATACTCCCAATACTATTATTACTTTGACTACTATTATTACTTTGACTACTATTATTACTGCTACTACTACTGATAGTACCAGGATTATTATTACAGCTAACAACACTGCTGCCACTACCATTACTACTATGGCTTCCACTAATATTATCACTATTACCACAATTATTACTACTAAAAGTACTATTAATGTTAGCAATAACAATACTGCTGCTAATTTCCGTACTTTTATTACTTTTACTATGAATACTAGCACCACTAGTTCTAATAATACTACGGCTAAGATCACCAGTACTTCCGCTACTACTATTTGTACTTTTCTTACGACCACTCCTGCTACTTCTAATACTACTGTAATTAATTTAATTAGTAGAATTTGTATTACTACTGCTATTTCAACCACCATTAAGATGAACGCACAAAACGCCTCACAACCAGCTATATAAATATCCCTAAAACGAGTCCCCTACCATAGCTATCATTCAGTACGATTCCTGATGAAAATATTGAAGCAAAACCGGAATATAAAAGAATTTTTAACGCTGTTTTATTGAGTCTCTTTAGTAAGCTGAATATCTCCCTTAAAGTGAAAGTGGACAAGGTGAGAGATTGACCACCAGAACATCGAAAACCGTCTCTTATAAATCAGTTGATAAATCAACCAAAACAGGGTTGATAGGAAGTCTGAGGGCTTGAAATAAGGCCTGATTGGTGAGGGATAAAATGCTCCTGTTGATGACGCCTGCATCGCCTGGTCTTACTCATTCCCGTTTGCGAACAGACTTCGCTGGTGCCGGTTTTGAGGCCTTCACTGTCCGCGAATCGGTGAATCGTGTGTCTATAACCAGACGTCGCAACCGCTGGGCAGAATTAAAGGAGGATGCATTTCCAACAGGCGGTAACTGTCGCTTAGAATTCTGGACTTCTTCATGCACATCACCTGCACCGGAATTGCTTTGATTCAAAAGTACATCACCTTTCTTTGCACCCAAACGAGTTTCCACCTTTCTCCCTAGATGTGATCTAAAATTAGAATTGGAAAGTGAAAATAGACTAATTGAATTTGAACGGAGTTTAATTTATTGCAAGTTGGTACGTTTTGTAAGAGAAGTCAGTGCACTCCCTTCCACCTATTTTCGCTCGTCCGCAGATTATCGATTAAATTGGAAATACGCGGCGAAACTCAGCCTTTACGCCACAAGAGTACGCTACTATCCGTTGATTGGCTGTCAGCTGGCCGGTCGTAAAT